GGTAATATTATATCCTTCTGAGGTCTTTGATGTAGTTGAAGACTAGATCGTTATAATTTTCCTTGGTTATGATAAAAGATAATTATATATGAAATATTAGACTCACAAATATAGGATAGATGAAAAATATTTTCTTTAATTTTGCCAAATACAAAGACTAGATATTGTAACTGTAATTATTGCTTGATAACTATTCTAGTATATGTAATTTTATTATGTTAAAGTTAAAACCTTCCTTTTTGATTAGACAGAAAAAGGGAAGTGCTGTAGGATGTTCTGTATGCTGTGAATATGTGTTGTTCTGATTGGTTGATAAATAAAATGCTGATTGGCCAGTAGCCAGGCAGAAAGTATAGGTGGGGCAAGCAGATGAGAATAATTCTAGGAAGAGGAAGGGCTGAGTCAGGAGTCACCAGCCAGGCACAAGGAAGCAAGGCAGAATTAAGAAAAGGTACAAGCCATGTGGCTAAACATAGATAAGAATTATGGGTTAATTTAAGTGTAAGAGCTAGTCAGTAATAAGCCTGAGCTAATGGCCAAAAAGTTATAGTTAATATAAGCTTCTTAGTGATTATTTTATCGGTGGGCCACTGGACTGTGGGGGCCTGGTAGAACTGGAGAAACTTCCAACTACAATCTACTTTCTGTATACTCATAACTATATTCCTTTATGTTCTGCAATCTCACTTTCTCTCTCTGAATAGCTGCATCACTTCCTCTTTCTGCCCAGCTCTGTTACTTTCTGTCCATCTGTACAGACCTCCAGACCTCTATGGTTAACTAGTATTAGAATTTAAGGCATGTACCACCATGCCTGGCTCTGTTACCAGTGTGGCCTTGAATTCACAGAGATCCAGATGGATCTCTCCTCCCAAATACTAGGATTAAAGGAAAGTTCTACCATTGCCTGACTTCTATGTTTAATGTAGTGGCTGTTGTTGTCCTCTGATCCCCAGACAAGCTTTGGAAGGGTGCACAATATATTGGAGGACACAATATCTCACATTTCCTTTTTTTTCATCTAAAAGAAAACTAATATAAGAAAAACTATATACAATAAGTATAATAACTATATACAATATATACAAGCAATAAAAACACCAACAATGTCTAGTCCATTTGCATTTGAGAAATTCTGAGAAAATATTCCATTATTTATCCTATTTGTGAATCCAAAGGATTGCACCTAATTTACCTTCTATCTAATTTGTATTACCAAACAATCTTTTGATATCTTTCAAACTTACACACTTTGCACCTCTTTGGTGAATTTATTTTCTGAATTTGTTATCAAGGAAAACTATAACTATAACCATCTAATCTTCAACTCCCTCAGAGACCAAAGAAGGAAATATTACCTAGTTAAACAGGGTGTACAAATGAACAACTTCTAAAAAATGTGAGGAATGACTGAAACAGCTGGCTGCTTGGATAGCCACCTGAGGTTCCTCTGCAATGTTGGGAGATCCATCTTTGGCCTACACACTTAGCATATCTGACAGATTCATCTGTGAAGCAGGATTTTCTAAAGAGTCTTCATACCTTGTCTTGGCTAGGATCACCAGTCCTTTGTTTTGTGTCCTGCTTGTCCATTTTGGACAGCATACTGTGTGCAGTCAATGCAAGGACATTTTCTTGACCAGTGGCTAACTTTTGCCACAATGAAAGTAAACTCCATATGGAATTTCTGCAATGCCCATCATCTTCTCTGAAGTAGATTGGCGCTGCCAAGAGCAGATATGTCTCATTGTCATTAAAAAAACTGTTATTAAAACAATTTAAATGCCATATTCTGCAGATTTCTGAAGTGTTTGAAGATGTCATGTCCATCTAAAATATATATCTGCTTGACCTTGAAAATATAGCTAATATTACTACAAGTTCAATTGTAATGACTAACTAAGAACTCGCATTTCTTTATATCCTAAATAGTTGGTATACCTCCAGACCTTTATGGTTAACTAGTGTTGGAATGTAAGGTGTTTGCCACAACACCTGGTTCTGTTCCCAATGTGGCCTTGAATTCACAGAGATCGAGATGGATATCTGCCTCCTGAATACTAGGATTAAAGGCATGTGTTACCACTGCCTAACTTCTATGTTTAATATAATGGCTGGCTTTGTCCTATGATCCCCAGGCAAGCTTTATTAGGGTGTACAATGTATTGCAGGAAATAATATATCACCATATTTATATGCACATATGAATAGAAAAATATAACCAGGCCTTATTTCTAGATCAAGAGCTATGGATAATTAATGGCTCCTGAGAGAATCAGCATTCTCCAGAGATTAATGGTAAATTCTAAACACATGTAAATATAAGCAACACTAAACTAAATTGTTTTAGCAGTCTGTATGCAATTATAGTTATATATATATATATATATATATGTATATATATATATGTGTGTGTGTGTGTATGTATGTGTATATATATATATATATTTATTTATTTATTTATATATATAATGATTAAAGATGAAGTCATGAAATTGAGAAGGAGTTCGTAGAAACAGGAAGAGCTGAGTGGGTGAAATAAATATAAATGTGTTACTCATGTATAAAATTTTATAAAAATGAAATGAATGTGGAAAACTTAATTTTCAGCTGAGGAATAATAATTATCATTATAATGCTCTAACCCAGTGAAAAGGTCAATAATGGATTAAATAATGTGTTTTCATTGTCGATTTCCCTTGCTATAACATAGACATTGTGAAATCTTGACAGTCTTTGCTTTGACATAAACCCAAAGTGACCTCATTTAAGAGAAAAGCAGTAGAATTACTTTTATTCCAATATAGCATTAGAAGGAAAATGTGTACCATGAACATTCTTTTCTACAGTTGATGAAGAAAGCAACTCTTCTATAACTGAAAATAAATTTCATACAACCAACTATGGCTTTCTCAATATAAATCAAAATGAAATAGGAAGAAAGAATAATGAATCCTTATACAAGAAATCCTCAAGAACTGACATGGTGTGCTGAGTAGTAGTATACTCAAAAAATAAAGTTGGTTATATAGAGAGATTTTTTTACAATTTAAACTACTCATTTCAGAGCAAGCATTTCTAAAAAAGATTTTCAAATGGTGAAATTCCATGTATCAATCTGCTTCATGAGATAGGTGGAGATGGAAAATTGCCAAGTGTTCTCACTGTGGTGCTCATTAAAATAATAGACTTATGAATGGATAAATAAGGGAATAGATGAATGGGTAGGCAGCTATGTCTACATATTAAAATACATTCATTTATCTATATTCTCAAGGTTTCATGAAAAAATATGGGGGATTCGGAAGAAATAATGCTGGTATAAATTTGATGTGGAATAATACTACAAAAATGAAACATGAAGTGAAGAGTAGAATCAAGAAAAATGTTAACAATATATGCATGCAGGGAAATACAGATCTTTGCTTTATGCAGTACATAGTTGGAAATTGTGCAACTCATATAACTAAAGCTATTCAAAAATTAATCAGAAAAACTGCGATGGTGATTTTAGAAGTATAATCTAAACAAAATTCATGATTCTGTGCATTGAAAAATAATAATTAAAAGAATAAAAATAAAATTGGATCTTGTGATGAAATAAACATAAAATTAAACAGCAGTAACATGCCATTTGTCATGTGTTAAAATTTTACAAAGCCATGTTGCCATTCCATTAGAGTGTGCCTAAATTAGCACAAAATATATCAATTATGAAAATAAATGTTAAAACTTTAAAATTTATTAAGTCTTATGACATAGAAATTGTATTTGAGAATAACTGCATAGTAAGAAAGAAGAGCAAATACTGGTGAATGAAGCTCTTGCTTCAAGCATTATTGCATACATTTTTAAAAATAGAAAAGCATTTAAATTCTAGTATAATGTAATAGGAGAAGAATAATTATCAGGAGTGGGGAGATGACACAGAGACCAAAATTGCTTGCTACCAACATGATAATCTGAGTTAAATCCCTGTAATCTATATGATATAAGAAGAAGAGGACTAAGTCCAGCAAGTTGACCTCTAATCTATACACACAGAAACACACACACACACACACACACACACACACACACACACACACACAAATGTAATAAAAATTCAAATTAAAGAGATAAGTTAACAAGTTAACTTACACCATGATCACCAACATGACTTTAAAATTAAGGAAGAAAACTATAATATGAGCATAATGCAGAATAATATAAAATTGTTTCTCTAATTTATTCTAAAGGGATGCCTGAAAAATTGTAATCCAACACATATTTAATTTAATAGTGAGGTTATATGATTCTGTTTTACAAGAGATTCAATATTAAGGGAGAAACTCATGCTTTATAAACTCAAATACATTGTATTTCAATGATATCAGATGATTTTTAAATGATTTTCTTCCTAGATGACAGTTTGCTTATATCTTTAGAATGTTATTTCCAATGTTCTCTAAAGTCAGCTGCTTCTGTGTGTGTGTGTGTGTGTGTGTGTGTGTGTGTGTGTGTGTGTGTGTGTGTGTGTTTAATGAGACCAGAGGGACATCTGGCAATGAGTACATGCCTTTTTCTCCATTTCTGTGAAGCCAGTAATGCGGCAAAATGCTATGCATTATGGTTTGAGTCTGAAATGCCTCTGAGACTCATGTATTAGAATGTTTGGTCCACAACTGCTATAGCTACTTTGAGAAGGTGTGGAACAATTTTGAGTTGGGGTGTAATTGGAAGAAGCGAGTCCCTAGGTATCAATCTTGATTTTATAGGCAGGTCCCACTTCTTATGCCCCCTCTATTTCCAGTTGTGCAAATAAGTTAGGAGCTAAGGCGTATTAACCACTAACTCAACTGTATATGGAACCAACCATTTTATTAAATAAGAAACACAGAACCAATGCAAAGAAGAAAGCAAAGAGATCAGAGCTAAGAGCTTTACCTGCCTGCTGCAGCTAGCCTCTTTAGCCAATAGACCTCTCTGAAAGGGACCTACTTCCTGTCTGTTTGTCTTTATATAGACTTTCTGTTCTGCCTTCTCATTGGTTGTAAACACAACCACATGACTGCCTTGTCACTGCCTGTTTATACAGACCTCCACGTCTTCTATGGTTGATATTGAGAATAAAGGCATGTGTCTCCAATGCTGGCCGTATCCTTGAAGACACAGAGATCTAACTAGCTCTGCCTACCAAGTGCTGGGATTAAAGGCATGCACCACCACTGCCCAGCTCTCGCTATGGCTCTAATAGCTCTGACCCCTGGGCAACTTTATTTATTAACATACAATTAAAATCACATTTCAGTACAAATAAATTATCACCATATTTCCCCTTTCTATTTTAATAAAAAGAAAAAAGGAAAAAGGTTATGACTAACATAAGGAAAACTATTTACAAAAGTTGTGGGAGCCCATTCTGGGGTTCCTCGTAGCTTTACCCAGCAGGTCCAAATAGAGGATGATCAAGACCACGGGCCTGAGTGCAGGTGTCTGAGATGGCCTGCACTTGGCTGTGCTGGGGGAGGAGGTCTTTTGCTCCACCCTTGGTGTCTCTATAAAAACCCTGGACCAGAGACAGTCAGGTCCGTTGGAATAGGTAGAGGCCCACTCGAGGCTATCCTTTATTTTCTATCTGTTTATCTCCGCAACATTCTTTGCTATAAATCCTTCTATATAATATTTCCTGCTGTTCGCACTCAAGAAAACTCTGGGAAGCTGTGGGGGTGGTGGGGAAATGCCCCACAGAATGGTGCCCGAACAGGGACTAAAGAAAAAAGAGAAAAAAAAGGGACTGAAGAAAAAAAGGGGGAACAAAAAAGGGGGGACTAAAGACAAATGAACAGGAACTTAAGACAAAGTAATAGGGACTAAAGATAAAGGAAAATAATAGTTTTA